TGTGTGGCTCAGTTCGTTAAGTGACTGCCTTCTGCTCAGGTCATGATCCTGGAGTACTGGGATCGAGTCCCAGATCGGGCTCCCTGCTTGACAGGAAGTCTGCTTCTCCTGCTGACCTCTCTCCTCTCAAGCTCTCTCTCTCATTCTCAAATAATAAATAAATAAATAAATAAATAAAATCTTAAAAAAGAAAAAGTCTTGAAGTTGCATAGCATCAGTCTTCCAACTTTCTTCTTCGATATTGTTTTGGCTAGTTGAAGTTGTTTGCCTCTCCATATAAATTTGGGAATCAGTTTGTCCATATCTATAAAATAACTTGCTGGGATTTTGATTGGTATTCCATTGAATCTGTAGCTCAATCTTGACAATACTGAGTTTTCCTATTTATGCACATGGAACATCAATCCATTTATTTAGCTCTTCTTTGATCAGAGATCAGATTTATTGTTTTCTTCATATGGCTCTTATACATATTTTGTTACATTTATACCTATATGTTTCATTTTTGAGAGTGCCAATATAAAGGATATTGTGTTTTTAATTTCAAATTCCATTTGTTCTTTGTTGGAATATAGGAAAGCAATTGGCTTTTTTATATTAATCTGTATCCTGTAACCTTGGTATAATTGTTCACTAGTTTCAAGAATTTTTTCTTTTACTTCATCTGCAAATCTTATTAAAACCTTTTTAAAGTTTTTATTTTAATTTCAGTTAAGTTTCAAGGGTTTTTTGTTGATTCTTTTGAATTTTCAACATAGACAAATATATCATCTCTAAACAAAGAAAATTTTAATTTCTTCCTTCCTGGTCTATTTATCTTTTACTTCCTTTTCTTGCCTACTGCATTAGCAAGTACTCCCAGTACAATATTAAAAAGGAGTGGAAAGAGGGGCAATCTTTGCCTTGTACCTGATCTTCATGTAAAAGCTTCTAGTTTCTCACCTGTAAGTATAATATTAACTATAGTTTTTTTTTTTAATAGTCTCTATTAAGTTGAAGAGATTCTCCTCTATTCATTGTTTACTGAGAGTTTTTAGCATGAACGAGTGTTGGATCTTCTCAAATGCTTTTTTCCTAATCTATTGATATGATCATGTGATTTTTCATTTTTAGTTTATTGACATAATGGATCACATTAATTGATTTCCTAATGTTGAACCAGACTTGTATACCTGTGATAAATCCCACTTGGTCATGGTGTATTGGTCTTTTCATACTTTTTTGGATTCAACTTCCTAATATTTTGTTGAGGATTTTTGTGTCTATGTTATGAGGGATAATGGTTTGTAGTTTTCTTGTCTTGTAATGACTTTGTCTGGTTTTGGTATTAGGGTGATATTGCCCTTATAGAATGAGTTAGGAATTATTCTCTCTGCTTCTCTAATTCTGAAAGACATTATAGAGATTTGGTATAATTCCTTCCTTAAATGTTTGGTAGAATTCACCAGTGAACTCACTGGGCCTGGTGTTTTATGTTTTGGAAAGTTATTAATTATTGATTCAATTTCTTTAATAGATACAGGTCTATTCTATTTTCCATTTCTTCTTTTGTGAGTTTTGGCAGATACTGTCTTTCAAGGAATTAGTCCATTTTATCTAGATTATCAAATTTGTGGGCATGTATTCACAACACTGAATCTATAGATCAATTGGGGAGAACCAACATCTTCACATTTTTAGTTTTCTAAACCCATTCATTACCTTAAAATTTTTCTCCATTTATTTTGATCTTTTAAGAATTCTCTCATTTGGAGTGCCTGGGTGGCTCAGTTGGTTAAGCATCTGTCTTCAGCTCAGGCCATGATCCTAGGACTCCAGGATCACCACCTGAGCTGAAGGCAGATGCTTAACTGACTGAGCCGCCTAGGTATCCCTCTCCTTTATTTTTAAAGGCTCTTTTCTGCTGAATATAGAGTTCTTAGTTTGTAGGGCTTTTTCTTTCATCACTTTAAATATATTATTCTATTATTTTTTAGCTTCCATTCTTTCTTCCTTTTTTTTAAAGATTTTATTATTTATTTGAGAGAGAGAGAGATGGCACAAGCAGATGGAGCAGCAGGCAGAGGGAGAGGAAGAAGTAGGCTCCTCGCTGAGCAGAGAGCTGGACATGGGACTCTATCCCAGGAAACTGAGATCATGACCTGAACTGAAGGTAGCTGCTTAACCAACTGAGCCACCTGGGTACCCCTAGCTTCCATTATTTCTGATGTGGGATAATTTAAAATTCTTATAGATGTTCTCCTGACTCCAATGTGTCCTTGTTTTCTGTTTGCTTTAAGATTTATCTGTGATTTTCAGCAGTTTGATTCTGGTTTCTTAAATGTGGTTCTAATTGTATTTATCCTGCCTGAAGTTCTGCTGAATGTCTCAGATCTAGACGTTGATGTCTTTCAACAATTTTGGAGAAAATTCAGTTATTATTTATTCAAACATTTTTCTATCTACTCTCATTCCTCCTGGGATCCCAATTATACAAATGTAAACCTTTTGGTATCACTCCACATGTCCTGGATTCTCTTCTTTTTTCATTCTATTTTTTTTCTGTGCTTCAGTTTGGATAATTTTTATTACCACTTTATATTATTATAACTTAAGTTACATGATTTCTTTTTGTTTTGTTTTGTACATTCTGCTACTAAGCCCATCCAATGGCCCTTCCATTGAAGATATTGTAATTTCCAGTTCTAGGGTTTTCATTTGATTCTTACAGTTTCCATCTATTTGCTGAGCTCCTCCCATTTGTTCACCCTTTCTGTTCTTCTTTTCTGATAAAACCTTTACTGTATTTTTAAAGATTTTATTTTTATTTATTTGACAGAGATCACAAATAGGCAGAGAGGCAGGCAGAGAGGGAGAGAGAGAGAGAGAGAGAGGAAGGGAAGCAGGTTTCCTGCTGAGCAGAGAACCCGAAGCGGGGCTTGATCCCAGGACCCTGGGATCTTGACCTGAGCCGAAGGCAGAGGCTTTAACCCACTGAGCCACCCAGGCGCCCCTTTACTGTATTTTTTTTTCCTTTACTGTATTTTTTTTTAAAGATTTTATTTATTTATTTATTTGTCAGAGACAGAGGGAGAGAGAGTGAGCGAGCACAGGCAGACAGAGAGGCAGGCAGAGGCAGAGGGAGAAGCAGGCTCCCCGCCGAGCAAGGAGCCCGATGTGGGACTCGATCCCAGGACGCTGGGATCATGACCTGAGCCGAAGGCAGCCGCTTAACCAACTGAGCCACCCAGGCGTCCCCCTTTACTGTATTTTTAATAGCAGTTTTAAATCCTGTCTGCAAATTTCAACATAAGGGGCATCTGTAGGTCAGCATCTTTAGGCCATTTCCCCTAGATTTTAAGTCATATTTTCTTGCTTCTTTGTATATTATTAAATTTTCATTCTAGATTGTACCTTGAAAATTGTGGAGACTCTGGATTATGCTATCTTATTCTAAAAAGTGTTGAGTTTTGTTTTGGTATATCCTTTGAAAGCTTTGTTTTAGGTTTTGTTAGGGTGGGCCTATTTTGTATTTCTCCTTCATCCTGTGGAAGTCTTTGATCATAATTTATGGTCCTTTTGATAATTTTTGGGTTTTAGTGGAAAACTTGAGATTTTTATAAATTCTAATTTGTTATAATTCAAATGCCAAACTCTGTCTCCCCAAAACTTGGCAGAAGCTGAAATCTCTGCTCTACACGTTTCCTTTCTAGTTGTTGTTTTTTTCTAGATTCCTTAAAGTCACACCCTGTGTGTATATATGGGTTAGGGAGAACCAAGATGTGAGGGAATTTGTATGCAGATTTCAGAGGTCCCTGCTCCATGGCTCACTCCTTTCTAGGATTTTCACCCTTAATTTCTAGCAACTCTGGCAGCCTTGAACTCTGACCCAAATATCATTATCCTGTTAAGACTTTCTGTTTCAGTTCAATCTCTCCTGTGCCTCATGAACTGAGAAGTACTTTTGGGCAAAACAACAGCTGGATAAATGTGGAGCTCACCTCATTTTCTTCCTTTTTTCAGGGATTTTGTACCCTTTGGTTCTGTCTGTTTTTTATTGTATTCTAGGCCTTAAAAGAGTGGTTTTAAAATATTTTGTCTGGGGTTAAAAAGTGTTTTTGGTAGGAGAGTTAGTCTGATACAATCCCCTTTATCATTCCCAGAACTAGAATTCTCCTTATGCAGATATTCATCATTTCTTTTTAGTGTAGAGCAGGTCAAATAGACAAAGATCTGCTAACCATGGAATAAGCCTGAGTATGAAAACCCTGACATTTCCTCAGAAATGTCAGGGTAGTTAGACCTTGCTGTTCAATGAATACTGACTAGTTGTTTAATAATAATAATAATATTTTATTTAAAAAATCTCTTAACTTAGAGCTAGCATTTGACCTTTAAACCAATTGCTCATCTATCCCCTTCAGTATCATAACAAGAAACAGGTCCACAGAGGTCAAACTTGCTCTGGCAGAGACTGACTAAATGCTCATAAAAGCTGTTTTCTTTTCCTTAACACAAAGCTAAAGTACATTTCCCAGCCTTCTTGTATCTGGGTGGAGTTCTGTGACTCGATCCTGCCACATTTACTCTTTCTCCTATCTACCACGTAAGTGATGCCAGAGCAATTTTCTTTTTACCAGAGTAATTTTAAAGACACTTTTGATAATGGTAGAGCCACAATATGGAAGGAGCCTGGGTCTGTAAATGACAACCTGGAGTGGAATTTCCTGCTGACCACTATTTGACTGTGATATGGGCAAGAAAATAATCTTTACGTTAAGCTACTGAAATTTTCTATTTTTTAAAACAGAAGTTACTGCTACTTATGCTAACTAATTACGCAAAGCCTAATCAGTGGTGAAGATATGCATAGAAACTAGTCCTCTGTTTTCTTTGATGGTTAACAAAAATAATTCCACTCATATGTAACTTACATAATTATCATAGTAGTACACTAGTTTACAACAAAATTTAAATAATTAAGAGCGTGCCATTTAATTAATAGAAAAATGGTGACTTACCCAGAGAGCAAATGCCTTTTTGTTCAAGAAAGCTGCTTAAAATAATTGTATTAAGGTTTAATATAAATCCCAGTTCTGGTGTAAGTTTCCAGAAGCCATCCTATGAAATAAAAAACAAATTTAAGCCACAGTACTAAAATTGATTCACATACATAAGAATGTAATATAATAAATAATATGTTTCCAATTATTTTAATTCAGTTTAAGACATTTCTAAAATTTTTATTATCAAAAATTTTTAATTACTATTTTTATTATTCTTTTTTAAAAAATATTTTATTTATTTGACAGATAGAGATCACAAGTAGGCAGAGAGGCAGGCAGAGAGAGGAGGAAGCAGGCTCCCTGCTGAGCAGAGAGCTCGATGTGGGGCTTGATCCAGGGTCCCTGAGATCATGACCCGAACGAAGGCAGAGGCTTTAACCCACTGAGCCACCCAGGCGCCCCTATTTTTATTATTCTTAAAATTGAAATTCTTCATATACTAATGACACAGTATTGTTGGGAATCTCAAAAATACTATGGATGTTATGTACCAGGTGGCATTTATAAAGTCTGGAGGGGTGCCTGGGTGGCTCAGTGGATTAAAGCCTCTGCCTTTGGCTTGGGTCATGGTCCCAGGGTCCTGGGATCGAGACCCGCATTGGGTTCTCTGCTCAGCAGGGAGCCTGCTTCCCTTCCTCTCTCTCTGCCCGCTTCTCTGCCTACTTGTGACCTCTGTCAAATAAATAAATAAAATCTTAAAAAAAAAATCTGGAAAGCAGGGCACCTGGGTGGCTCATGGGTTAAGTCTCTGCCTTCAACTCAGATCATGATCCCAGGGTCCTGGGATCGAGTCTCACATCGGGCTCTCTGCTTGGCGGGGAGCCTGCTTACCCTCTCTCTCTGCCTGTCTCTCTACCTACTTGTGATATATCTGTCTCTGTGTCAAATAAATAAATAAAAATCTTAAAAAAAAAGTATGGAAAGCTGCTCATGTCTAAGGATTTTAAAAAATGGTGTTATGTATTTTTTTTCTTCTAGTAATGCTTTGAACTGATGTTTCTCAAACTTTTCTTTTTCATGGTAAGGAAACTTTAATTAAAATGCCAAGTGCAAAAGGACAGGATTTGGATGACATATGTAAATGAAAATAAAAGACTGTAGGGAAAGTGAGACTTCATTGAAGGTGACATGATTGCAGAAAGAAGATGTGCTGAGCAAGCACCTCAGAAGAACAGGCAGTTTGGGGCAGTGCCATAAGCTACAGGCATTTCAGAAAAAATACATTGAAAATGTAATTGTGATGTTTCTCAAACTTAAAAGTTTGAGATTTGAGCATGATTCCTTTTTTTTTAAATCATTTTTTAAATTTATTTTCAACATAACAGTATTCATTGTTTTTGTACCACACCCAGTGCTCCATGCAATCCGTGCCCTCTCTAATACCCACCACCTGGTTCCCCCAAACTCCCACCCCCCCACCTTTTCAAACCCTTCAGACTGTTTTTCAGAGTCCATAGTCTCTCATGGTTCACCTCCCCTTCCAATTTCCCCCAACTGCCTTCTCCTAACTCCCCATGTCCTCCATGCTATTTGTTAGAGCATGATTCCTTTTGATCAACATTAAAAATGTGCCTTTATGATGTCTGAAATGTGAAAATGACATTTTTTTAACTAAATATAAAATTGTTATGATGAATATGCGCCTTAAAACTATCTTACTTATTCTCACTGTCCTCTGCCCACCTCAGCTAACTTTTAGGGCTGATGTTTCTTACATATTATGAGGTAGTTGTAAACCTGAACATGGGGATCTTGAACTTGAAGTAGATCAACTCCAGGTCTCAGGGGCACTAATACAGGGAGCAGAAAAAGGGTGAGGTCATAGGCAGATGCATGGACTTGACAGCAATAATTTGAAAAAATCACAGCATGTTAGCATATGCTAACAGTTGGCATATGCTAACTAGTGATGAACTAGTTCTAGATGCCGGGTTTTTTTTTTTTTTTTTTTTAATCTGTTTAGCCACTCATGTGGAGGCTATTACTATACCTTTTGCAGATAAGAACTACTTTTCAGTTGAGAATACTGAGGCACAGAGAAGTTAAGCAACTTGTTCAAAGTCACACAGCTAATAAGCAGCAGAAGCACAATTTAAGCCCCGACAGTCTGGCTCCAGGGCCCATAAATGACAGTACCTGCTATACTATTTCCAACACTGTTTTCATGTATGTTCTTTCAGGTTTAAAAAAAAAAAAAAAAAGAAAGCTGACAGCTGTTATTATCTCATTTAAACCTTAAAGCCATTCTAAGAGGCAGACACCATTATTACCCCCCGTGTATGGGTGAAGAAACTAAAACTCAGAAAGGTTTTGACTTGCCTTAAATCACAAAGAAGTAGGACTAAGGCTCAAATTTAGTCTCACACTAAATCAAGTCGCTTTTCTGCTTCACTAAACTACTTTACATTAAAACACATAATTATACATGTGTGACTGGGTCTTAGTACCAGTGCAAGAACTATATTTATTGAGTGTTTACTAGCTTCACAAATGGAATGATAAGTTCTAACACAGTCTAACATGTTGAGTAATATTCCCAAGACCATATGTGAAAACAATCAGAGTATACTTACAACACTTGTTCTTTACTTCACAAGGGAAGTTTACATGATTGTAATTCATCTATCTGTTCTAGAACCTAGCAAATCAAGGTGTTACCCCATGACCCACTTAGGGATGCTAATTTTCAGCTGAGGAATATTAACATTCACTTGCATGACATTCTGGCCTAACAATTAAAAATAGATAAATACCATCATCAAGCACACTATATTGTTCAATGGCTTTTTTTTAAGCAAGATTTTCTCAGTGAAGGAAGCAGTGTGTTGATTTACATTCTTCCACCAGTCACTTTCCTCACTAATGCACTGGTAAGTATTTCAACGAGCAGCTACTTTGAGTAGCTCTGTTCTGAACTATGAAGCTAATTAACCACAGACCTAAGGGTAAATAAGACTAATACCTCAGTTTGTAGACTGAAGAGTTCAGTCCAAGGCACAGTATTCATCCAGCTCTGTTCATATTTTCGTGCCTGGAAGCTTGCAGTAAAATCACTTCCTGTTATATCAGATATTGTCACTTCTTTTTTCTTTTTCTTTTTTTTTTTTTCAGATATTGTCACTTCTTGAAGAAAATAATTTGCCAGAAATTCTGGTGTTCCATTATTTTCTGTTTCAGAAAAACTTCCATTACTTGAAGCAGATAATGAAGTTCCGGCAGAAAGAGCTGTACAGAAAGAAGCCTCCGATTCAGTGTTAGCAAACAGATATGCTGGTGGCTTGTAACTGGCGCTGAAAGGAACTGCAGAATTTTGAAAATAAAGAGGAGAACAAGAAAGGGAATGAGCTGCAAACCCTCTGGATGGACCAGCAGAATTAAGTCTACGAGGAGGCAAATGAATATTCGGCTGCAGAGGAGAGTCCAACTCAGAGAAAATATCAGCAGAATTGTGGGTCTTATGGCCTTGATAAGTTTCAGGTAGATTAACATCACTGGAGTTAAATGAGACACCTTCACGAGCACAAAAAGCAAAGGATTTAAGATGTGGGGGAGGCAGTCTGTAAGGGGTATATGACGCAGGGGTAATGTCACCCAAATGGTCAGCTTGAAGGTCTTGGTCATTCTTAGATGGACCAAACTCTTTGAGACTCCTAGCAAACGTCTTAGGATGTAAGCGGGGATGATGGAGGAAACAAGCACCTTCAAAGGGCTCATCTCCCAAAAGGGCTGAACCATGGGCAGCAGAAATACTGCAACTAACCAGTTTTGGGAAAGGGGTATCTCTACATAGCGGTTGTTGAAATGAATCCATCTGACTTAAATCCAATGGCTTTTCCACATCTTCACATTCAAAATTGAGTGTTAAAGGTTTTTCTGATAGTTGGGAACTATCTTCAAAATCTTCAGAATCTTCAGAATCTTCCAGGTGATATGATCTAAACTTTCTGTTAGTCAAATGTGGTTGTTGCAATTCTTCATTCCATTCAAAGAATGCTAAAAGAGGCTGTCCAAGAGGGAAAAATATAATGTAAGGGAAAACACAAAATAAAATGAACAATCAAACATACTTCCTAGACTTAACTTCGGAGTAGACAAGAAATTACTTATCCTAGAGCACTGAAAAATTGGAGATATACAAGATAATTTAAATACAATGCCCTTGTTATATAGATACAAATCTGAGATTTGGAGAGAACAGCAGTAATAAACACATCAAAGTTCTTAGTTTCTCTTTGTTCTTAGCATGTTGAAACTTCTAATACCCCTCATTTGATATAAGAGGAAACGCAGGACCACAGAAGTGTCTTGTAAAAATTTTATAATTAGCAGTATCATAGTATGTAAATTAGCCCTAAAATAAGCTGATAATTTGAAATAAATTATTCTAGTCTTTTATTCTGCTTTACAGCAATATTAAGGAAATGAGACAACTGATAGAAAATTTCAAAAGCTTTATCTTAAAAAGTTACAAGTAAATAAAATCCAGTTTTATATGAATTACAAGTCTTTGAGATATTTTGGAAGTAAGTAGCCTGACAGCACCTGGCTGGCTCAGTGGGTAGAGTATGTGACTCTTGATCACAGAGTTATAAATCTGAGCCCTATGTTGGCAGTATAGACAGCTTAAAGTAAAATCTTTAAAAAAAATAATTAGGGGTGCCTGGGTAGCTCAGTGGGTTAAAGCCTCTGCCTTTCGGTACAGGTCATGATCTCAGGGTCCTGGGATCGAGCCCTGCGTCAGGCTCTCTGCTCAGCGGGGAGTCTGCTTCCCTCTCTCTCTGCCTGCCTCTCTGTCTACTTGTGATTTCTGTCTGTCAAATAAATAAATAAAATCTTTAAAAAATTAAAAAAATAATTAGCCTATAATTTTACCAATGTAAATCAGGTATTTTATTTTATTATTATTTTTAAAAATCAGCTATTTTTTAAAAAGAGTAGTTCTTTCCCAACTCAGTCATTTCCAGTATACATTTAAATAATTACACTGCAGAACATACTACAAAACACATATTTGAAAATAATATTTAAAAACAATGTTTTTCTGGGTAAGTTTCTCTTAATTAAACAGAAAAAGAAAGTAATAGTGATAGACTAGACCTATTAGATATTAAAGTATTTTATAAAATTGCAATAATTAGACACATCAGTGGAACAGAATAGATGGTCTAGCAATAGATCCTAAAACACATGGGAATTTAGTAGATGACAAAGATGACATTTTAAGTCAATGGGAGGAAAAAGAATTATCCAATAACTGGTGTTGGGGAAAGTGGGTAGCTATCTGGAAAAGAATAAAGTTAGTTCCATACTTCCTATCTTATACCAGGATAGATTCCAATTGGATGAAAAATTAAACGTAAACAAGAAACCATAAAACTATTTTTTAAAAAAATAAGAAAAAACCTTTAGGAAGCATAGCCTCTGAATAGGAAAGATATTTCTAAGAATGATAATAAAATAAAACAATATAAAACAAAAACAAGAAACCCAAAGATCAAAAAATTTGCCTGAATTAAGAAATCTGCATGACAAAAAGATGATGAATGACATCAAAATACAAATAGCAAACTGGGATACAAATCTGTGCAGCTCAAAGTAAAAACAGCTAATTTCCCTAATACGTATTTTTCCTGAAATAAATAAGAAAATGACTAGGGCGCCTGGGAGGCTCAGTTGGTTAAGCAACTGCCTTTGGCTAAGGTCATGATCCCAGGGTTCTGGGATGGAGCCACACATCAGGCTCCTTGCTCTGCAGGGAAGCCTGCTTCTCCCTCTCATTCTCCCTCTCCCTCTGCCTGCCGTTCCCCCTGCTTGTGCTCTCTCTCTCTCTGACAAATAAAATCTGTTAAGAAGGGAAAAGAAAAGAAAAAAATGACTAACATCACAATAATAAAGGTAAAAAAAACATTAATAGATAACACATAGAAAAGAAGATACCTAGAGCTCTTAAGAATATGAAAACATGCTATCTTCATTCACAAAGAAATGAAAATTAAAATATCATTAATGCGTTTCTCACCTGCCCAATTTGCAAAGATCAAACATTTGAACGATAAACTGGGTTAAAGACGGACAGAGTAAGACTCTCACATGCTAACGATGGGAGTGTGAATTGACATAACCTACAAAGAGGGCAGTTTGGCTAGAGTTAATTAAAATTTTCAGAATAGATTTTCTTAGGTATAATTGATGTGCAATAAACTGCACATTTTAAATGCATAATTTGAGGAGCACCTAGTTGGCTCAGTCAGTACAGCATGTGATTTCTGATCTCAGGGTCGTGAGTTGGAGCCCTACACTGAGGGTAGAGTTTAATTAAAAAAATAATAAGGGGCACCTAGGTTGCTCAGTTGGCTAAGCAGCTGCCTCTGGTTCAGGTCATGATCCTGGGGTCTTGGGATCAAGCCCCACATCGGGCTCCTTGCTCAGCAGAGAGCCTGCTTCTCCCTCTTCCTCTTCCTGCCGCTCTGCCTACTTGTCCTCTGTCTCTCCGTCAAATAAATAAATAAAATCTTTAAAAAAATAAAGTATATAATTTGGTGAGTTCTGACATAAGTATACATCATGAAGCCATTATCATAGTGAAGAGAATGAACATAACCATCACTCTCAAGATATTCCTGTGCCCTTTTGTAATCCATCTCATTCCTCCGCTCGCAGTTCCCAGGCAACCACTATTTATTTCAATAACTTTATATTGGTTTACATGTATTTTGTATCAATGGAATCATACAATTTCTATTCTTCTGTGTTTCACTTCTTCTACTCAGCATAACTGTCCTGATACATGAGGTTGCATGTATCCATCATAGGGCTATATCACAGTTTGCTTATTCATCTCCTGATGGTTGTTTCCAACTTCTGGCTACTACAAATAAAAGCCACAATGAGTACTTATGCAGAAATCTTTGAACATACACCTTCACTTCATTTGGCTGAGTCAAGTGGTAGGTGTATATATTTTAAGAAACTGTCAAAAAGTTTCTAAAATGGTTGTGCCATTTTGCACTTCAACCAGCAGTGCATGAGAGTAACCATTGTTCCACATCCTCACATGTAGTACTGTCAGTCCCTTTTACGCCATTCTAGTGGCTATGTGAAAGTATCTCACTGTGCCTCCAATTTGCATATTCTCATGTGACTGATGATTTTGAGCATTTTTTTTAAGATTTTATTTATTTATTTGACAGAGAGATCACAAATAGGCAGAGAGGCAGGCAGAGAGAGAGAGAGAAAGAGAGAGAGAGAGAGGAGGAAGCAGGCTCCCTGCTGAGCAGAGAGCTGGATATGGGGCTTGATCCCAGGACCCTGAGATCATGACCTGAGCCGAAGGCAGAGGCTTTAACCCACTGAGCCACCCAGGCGCCCCTTGAGCATCTTTTCTGTATCTTCTTTGGTGAAGTGTCTTTTCAAATCTGCTCATTATTTTATTGGGTTTTCTTAGAAATACTGAATTGTAAGATTGCTTTATATATTTTAGATGACTTTGTCAGATATGCTTTATGAGTATTTTCTCACAAATGTGGCTGGTGCATTCATTTGCTTAATGGTGTCTTCTAAAGAGCAAAAGTTTTTGGAATTAAGGAAGTCCAATCATCAATTTTTAAAAAAAAAATTTATTTATTTGACAGAGAGAGAGAGAGAGAACACAAGTAGGCAGAGAGGCAGGCAAAGGGGGAAGGGAAAGCAGACTCTCCACTGAGCTGAGAGCACGATGCGGGGCACGATCCGAAGACTCTGGGATCATGACCTGAGCCGAAGGCGAAGGCCCAACTTGAGCTACCCAGGTGCCCCCAATTTATCAAATTTTTAAAAGATTTTATTTATTTATTTGAGAGAGAGAGAGAGTAAGAACAAGTGCCAGCAGGGGGAGTGGGACAGAGAAGCAGACTCCCTCCAATGCAGAGCAGAAAGCCTGATGCAGGGCTTGATCACAGGACTCTGAGACCATTACCTGAGCCACCCAAGAGCACCTCATCAATTTTTTTATAGTTTTTTTTTTTTAATTTAAAAGACCTCTGTCGAACCCAAATTCATTAACATTTTCTCCTATGTTTTCTTCCAGATATTCTAGTTTCAGTCGTTATATTCAAGTCTATATTCCAAATCAGTCTTTGCACATAGTGTGAGCTAAGGACAGAGGTTCATTTTTGTTTGTTTGGCAAATGGCCAACCAATTGCTCCAGAACCATTTGTTGAAAAGATCATCCTTTCCACACTGAATTGCCTTGACACATCTGTAGAAAATCCATTGACCCTGTATATGTGGATATATTTCTAGACTTTCTATTCCATTCCAACTGTTACATGTTTCAGTGGTGTTCTTATGGTGCAGATGTCTATTTTACACAAATATCACACTCTCCTAATTACTGTAGCCTTATAAAAAGTCTTAAAATCAGACAGTGTAAGACCTCCAAATTTTTCTTCTTTTTCAAAGTTGTTTTGGCTAACAAAGATCCTTTACATTACATATACAATTTAGAATCAGTGTGTCAATTTATAAACAAAAAACTTGCTGGGACTTTGAGTTGGATTGAACAGAATCTATAGATTAATCTGAGGAGAATCAGAGTAAACGAATTTAATCCAAGAACATTTATTTAGCTCTTCTTCCATTGCAATTTTCTCAGCAATGTTGTGTAATTTTCAGTGTACAGGTCCTGCTTATTTTGTCAAATTTGATTTTATATATTTCGTATTTTCTATAGTATTATACGTGGTATTGTTTTTTAAATACCAATTTTTAATTGTTGCCAGCATACAGAAATTAAGTTGGTTTCTTACATTTTTTAAAGGATTTATTTATTCATTTATTTGCCAGAGAGAGAGAGAGAAAGAGAGAGAGCGAGAGAGAGAGAGAGAGATCACAAGTAGGCAGAAAGGTAGGCAGAGAGAGAGGGAGGAGGAGCCTCCCCGCTGAGCAAGGAGCCTGATGTGGAGCTCAATCTTAGGACCCTGAGATCATGACCTGAGCCAAAGGCAGAGGCCCAACCCACTGAG